GCCTATTAAAAGTTAACACATTAGGTGAGAGATTTCTTTGTGTCATTTAATATATTGTGATAAGATAGAGATGTTGACCACACAGGCTATTCTGTGCTGAGGTGAACATTTAAGTTTGTTACAGAAATATTGTCATGGAGCCAGCTCATGGTGCACAACTGTAATCCCACCACTCTGGAGGCTGAGGCAGGATGATCACTGTAAGTTTGAAGCCAGGCTGGGCTGCATAGTGAGTCCAGGCCAGCCTGAACTACACAGTGAGACCCTGTCTCAAAATAATAATAATAAGAATGATAATAATAATAATGTCATCATAATTGCCATGTTTTTTCTGTAAAGTTTTATAACTGTCTGTTAACCTTCTGCAGAGACTCAACTACCAAAACAACTATGATTGATAGTCCTCTGTCATATTATATGCTTCAAAGTGTTTGATATCCAGATGAAATTATAATACTTAAATTCTCAGCCCCCACTGATCACTTCTGGGTGATCAATAACTGAAGTACAGAGACCAGAACTGGAAAGGAAATTGGGTCAGGGATACAGCTCAGGAGCACAGTGGCTGCTTAGCAAGTGCAAGGTCTGAGTTTGATTCCCAGTTTTTAAAACAAAGGTAACTGGGCTAGAAAAAGCAGCCAGTGTTTTGGCTCTGGCCCTGCATGGTCAACGAGCACCTGAGACATGAGAACCTTTTGCTATGAGATCTTACAACTTTGGTGAGTCATCTAACTTCCTGAACAAGAGGAATTCTGGACCCCAACAGACTAAAATCCACAAAGGTGTAGTGTGCAAAAGGAGAGTCACCCAGAGAAAAAGTCCCCCATGCTTACACAGTGAGGGTGTGACACATAGTGATGGCTGAGGAGCAGAGAGGCTCTGTGCAAGGTTCCAAAGTGACACTGGAGGAGACTAACCAACCTTGACAGACAGCAGGAGATTAATTTTAATTAACCCATGTCTCACTTTAACCTTGTCTTAAACACCCAACTAAAAAGGATAACCAAAAGATATACACTGCAGTGCCATAGTACAAAGTTAGCTACAGAAAGAGACTCCGATCGCTGACCCCTCCAGGCAGCTTCCAGCTCCACTGCTAGCTGACTATGGGTCATTAGAAAAACTCTGATAAAAGCTACAAAAGCTTGACAAGAGTCTTTAAGTTCTTTAGTTAAAATTGTCTTGTAAAACCACCAAACTCTCCATTTTCTTACAGCTAAAACCAGAGGAGCTAATCACAAAATATCAGACTTCATCAGTAAGACAGTCTAGGAGCCGATGGTTACAGTTACTGTTCCAAGCCCTGAAAAAGAGTTTCTGAGGGTCAGGGATTTAGCTTAGTGGTGCAGAGCCTGCTTGGCAAGCGTGAGGTCCTGAGTTCAATTCCCATACTCACCTGGCTCCCTCCCTCCAAACAAACAAACAAAAACAAACCAGATTATGGACTTGGCTCTTTCTTAAATCTGCCTTTTGGTTCTGCTGCTTATACTCTGGCTACATGTGCTTTAATTTCTTGAAAAAATTGCTTGTTCTTGTCTAAAGGCTGCCAAGCTCCACGTGATCATGCAGAAAAAACCAGTGACAAACGTGCTGGACTCCTTCACTGGATCTACCAGATGGACCTTGTTGAGAGCATTATATAGCACACTGAGGCCTTAAATAACCATACTTACTGGGCCTTAAATGACAACTCATCTGATCCCTCTCTCCTAAACAACGAGTTAACATTAATGAGGCAAGCCATCCTTCAAAAGCAGATGGCCTTAGGTCTGCACGGCAGCACAAGGGAACACTTGTTCTGTTATAAAAACTGCATGCTGTGTGTGATTCCTGATCCTTCTGTTCATATCTTGATGGCTATACAAGGCGTTAGATGACAGGTTAATGCCATGTTGGATTCTGAAACTCCCTGGATGTCTTTCTTACCATCTCTATGGGAGAGCTACTACTGGCTCTTCTTGGTAGGGATATTGTTGCTTATATCCATAATAGCCTTATTGATCTTACTGTTTGGCCCATATATATGAACTGCTTTCTCGCCCTCATCTTCTCCAGATTTAGCAGCAGGTGTCTCTAACTGCCCATCACAACTATGACCAACTTCAGCCTGAAGAAGCCAGAATGGTCAGCGCCCCTCTTGACAGTTAAGGATCCCACTTCAGAGAGGAAATATTATAGACAGCTAAGCCAGGCAGAAATATTAAGGCAGTCAGATAGGCCTTGGCCCTTGAGAGAGCCAGGACAAAGGTGAAACACATCTCAACTGTGGCTGGATGTGCCCTACCAAATGGAATGGAGCTGCCCACTCTCCTGGCTTTTATCATAATGGTACAACTGTGACTCAGCATGGTGGCTCTCAAGCCAAAGACAAAATGAGCAGCCTTGCTTATCTCCCTGAAGGACAAACACCAGGCTTGATGAAGCCTAGAGAGACATTAGTCATTTTAATGGGATGACCAAGACTTCTGGACCCATCTTTTCCTAGGAAAAAACTTCGTTATTTCCATGAACCTTTGTTACAAGACTTATTTCCTCATCGGGTCACTATTATCTGAGTGACTATATTTATTTATATCCTTCTTGGTTAGTCCCAGCTCTAACCCACATTGTACCCATGTGGGTACTGCTCTTAAAACTTCCCTAAAAAGTGGGGTCCTCAGGCAACCCATTTGGGCCCCCCACTGTCTCTCAGGAGCTATATCTCTTCTTCTCCAAATATTTCCTGCTCTTAACCTCTGCTGTTCCTAGTATTCATTCTCTGATTTTTAGAGAACAGCCATCTCACAGATTGGGAGTGTAGTATTTCAGTATTTCCTTTTTATCATATTTGAAGTTTCTGATATCACGCCTGTGATGTAAATCATCCCTGTATCAACATCACAGGTTACTCTGGGTCAAGTTATAATCAACCTGTAGGATTCCAAGTGCAGTCCCTTAACTAATACTGACCTAATGGAAATACAAGGTAGGTAGCAAGAGGATGTAGCATGGGAGGAACAGAGGCATTTCTGGAAGGGGTGGGAGGGAGGGGCAGAGTGTGCTGGTCATTCTTACATGTTTTCACGTTGTTTCTCTGTGTTTCTTACATCATTTCAGTTTGCCACATCATTTCTCAGTGTTTGTTACATTCTGTTCCTCACATTGTTTCTCTGAGTTTGTTATATTGTTTCTGTTTGTTACATTGGTTCTCTCTGTTTGTAACATTGTTTCTGTGGGTTTGTTACAATGTTTCTCTCTTTTTGTTATATTGTCTCTGCATGTTCCATGGTTTAAGCTCACTGGGTCAGATGGTGGGAGTTACAAAACAGCTTTGAATTAATATTTACTTCTGGGGAGGTGCAGGCCTAGTTATCCTGTCTCCATCTCTCTGTCATCTCCTCCACCACAGGCTTGGTCACCTTCTCTCTGTTCTGATGACCTCATACCTGGTCCCTTTTTAATTGCCTAGCAATCTCTACCTGACAGCTATCTGCAATAATGAGATGCTGATCATCCCTGTTCTTTCCTCCTGTACATTCAAATGCACAGCCTTAATCTCAGGAACCCTCCACTTTCCCAGAGTGTACTGCAGGTGAGCCATTTGTGGAGACAGGTGGTCAGGGGATTTCAGGCCACAATGGTGGGTCATAGGCCTCTATGGCTGGAGCCTGTATGATAGAGCAGCCTTGCCAGGGTCCCAGGGGAGTGTGGCTGAGTGACGCCACATGGGACATAGAGAGGAACCCTGTGCCCTACCAAATGGGATGGAGCTGCCCACTCTCCTGGCTTTTATCATAATGGTACAACTGTGACTCAGCATGGTGGCTCTATGACCTGCTGGGCTAAGGGACACAGTGTTCTCATTTCCCTGCTATGAAGGGTGTTCTGGAAACCTTTTTCCTGGGGCTCCTGCCCCTCTCAGGAAGGAACATAGTCACTGGGACCCTAGGGGTGGCATCTGGCCCTGGGACTGGGGCAGGCGAGGCTGCTTGGGGGAGAAGCCACTCACACTGCTGGGAGGATTTCTAGGAGCTTAGCTTCCCCAGGGCCTGGGGCCTTCCATAGTGTAGTCAGGTCTTCGGCAAACCCCACCCCTCTGGAACAGTGTTACATCTCATGAAGAGTGTCCCCAGGCCTGGGACACTGACCCAGAGCCCGCCAGTGCCTGGTGCCTCCTTGGCTGCGGCTGAGGTGGCCCTGGGTGAGCTGGTGGCAGACATGGGTGACGTGGGGTTTGCAGGTGAGGCTTAGAAATGTGGGACACAACTTTATTTCCAGTTTGTCCCATCTGCAAAGGTGATGTGACAAAATTGCTCAGAAAAGTCCTTAGTTTCCCAGGAGGAGGGGCACAGGGCAGCTCTTGGCTTCCCCAGACCTCACTCCTGGGGCAGCCAGTTGGACATCTGGGCCACCTCCAGCCCTGCCCTCCTGTCCCTGGCTGTTACTAAGGTCAGCAGACAAAGACCATCTGCGGGGAGAGAAGAGGCCTGGGCTCAGCCTCCGCATTTGAGTGTCAATTGTCACTGGGAATGAGCTACAGTTTGGCTGGATTAGCTGTGTCTGAGTCACTTCCCTTCCCCGGGCCAACGCTCTCTGGCTTTTCCCCAAGCTACTGGGGACTCCCAGGATCAGGAAGGTCCTAGAAAAAAATGGAAGCTGGCAGAGAGCTCCCAGGGACACCGCTGACCATAACCAGCCCCACCTTCCTGACCAACCGCTGCCACACTGGGTCATGGTTCTGGTACTTCTCAGCCAGCAGGGACACCTCCAGACAGACAGTATGACCTTGGATGTCCCAGAGCCTCTGCCAAGCAAGTATCCCCTGTCGCAGGACAGGTAGGGACCACTGCTGGGACAACAGTGGCTCAGGGAGGACTGAGCCCCGTGAGAAGCCGAAGCAACTCTTGGGGGGAGGTGAGGAGACAAACTTTCGGTCTGCACCGGACGCGTCCTGCAGGGCGGGCCAGGTCCCGGCTACGGGCGGGGCCGAGCGGTGACCCCCGGGCGGGGCTGGCGACTGCAGAGGGGAGGGGCGAGCCGGCTGGGATTGGACACCGCACGCGCCTGGTCCCCGGGGCTCAGTGGCCGCGCGCTGCCGGGGCTCAGTGGCCGCGAGCTGCCTAGTGCTCGGCCCCTGGAGCCAGGTCTCTGTCCCGTGTGTCGCTCGCCATCCTCTTAGGTAGCGGTGAGTGGGGCGCGGGTGGGCTCCGACTCGGCGCTGGCTTTGGGGGACCCTGGCTTGCCCCAGCTAGGTCCTGCTCCCGGAGATGAGGTTGCGGTGATACGGGTCGCGTGGATGTGGACGGGAAGCGCGCGGGAGGTGTGAATGGGCCGTGCGCTTCTTAGTGTCACGCTCTGTCGCTGAGCATGGGGTCCCCGGCGTGGGCCCTTGGGGCGCAGTTGCTGGTCCAGCGCCGCAGACCCCACGCGCCCTGGTGAAGTCGGCTGATGACTGATGTTTCGCCCCACCTGCCTTTCTGTGCGAGAGGCCACACGGTTTCACTTTCCTAGACCGCTTATTCCCCAAACCTCCGTCCCTCCGGGAGCTCCAAGGGTGCACCCCGGCGATACTGACCAAAACGTTGCCGCACGAAATACGACTTTACGCTCACCGGTGTAGAGTACGGATCCGTGCGCGCCGGCACGCGGGTCCCCAGCGGACCCCTCCGCGATCCTTCTGCTTGGCCACCTGTTCTTAGGCCTGGAGTCCGGGCTGCGGCCCAGCTGGCTGTCGCCGATCTGACAGGGGTCTTTCCCTGCAGGGCTGGAGAGGTGACTTGTGTCACGTATGTGCCCCTTTCTCCGCAGGGCCGGCGAGGTCACTCGGGTCACGCGGCCGGAGCCTTCCCGACTGCTTCCTGCGGCTGATTCACAGCTCCTCCACGCCGGCGGCTGCTCCGAGGGTGAGTTGCAGGGAACAGTCGGCAGCAGGAGGAAGGAAGGGGCACCTCCCGCAGGGTCTGGGGGCGCAGTACAGGCGGGGAGCTCGCCCTGTCCTCCATGGTCGCCCACCGTCTGCCCTCTTGTGCCTCAGTTTCCCCCCTTGCTGGTGTACTCGGGCTTCGTGGGGCCATCGGTCCCATTCATTTTCTCGGAAAGCAGGAATGTGTCCAACTGCGAGCCCTGCCCATCAGCCCAGCCGGCCGGCCTTTGTCCGTCCTGCCTTTCAGTTGGTGGGTGCAGTTTGTGTGGAGCCTGCGCTGTGGCCAGGCCTTCCCTTCCCTCCCTTCCTTCTTGCCAATCTGCCCTTGCTTACTTCCTTTCTTCAGAGGCCAAACGGACCTCCTGTCCCTTTGCGGGCCTCCGGAGCCTGCTGGTCAGTGCAGGGTTATTATTGGGCACGAATTGCACTCCTGGATCTGGGCGCCATGACATTGTCAGTGGGATGTAAAGGAAGGTTTTAGCTGAAAAGGCCACTTTTTTTGTTTTCGTCAACACGCATGTGGTTGTGTTTACTGAATGTAAAATCGACGCAAATTCATTAAAAAAGAAAAACAAACAAAAACTTTTCCCCAGATGGAAACCAGCTGTATAACTGACCTGATTTTCCTGCTTTTTAAGGCTAAATCCTGACATTTATTCTCCTTCTCTTCCTCCTTTTATTTCCTCCTCCTCTTCTCTGAGTCATTCAGAGAAGACACGTTTATTACACTTGTGTACACAGGTAAACGACCTATCTGATCTTAGTTTATTGTTTTAAAACTGAAAAAGAAATATAACCCTTGGTGTAATAAGTAGGGTGTGGTATGGAGTGAGTGGGGAGCGGGCACCCCGACCTCCCCCAAGGAAGAAGCTCTGGGGGGAAATGTGTCCCTCCAACCTGCGCAATATCAGACACTCGGGTTTGTGCTCCCCGCAGGCAAAGGATGGATTCTAAGGGACCACAGAGGTGAATCGCAGGAAGATTTCCTGCTGGGTGTAGGAAGAGGGAATGGGATCAGCTCCTGAGAGATGGGAGGGGTCCCGAGAGATGGGAGGGGTCCTGCATGGGCTGCTGAGGGGCCCAGTTCTCTGAGAAGGTTTTATAGAGCCCAGGGGTCAAGTGATAATCAACCAAGGAGATTACAAGAGTATCCACTGGGGGCTGAGGATTTAGCTCAGCAGCATAAGCGCCTGCCTTGCAAGCAGGCAGTCGAGAGTTCGGTCCCTGGTACCGATTAACAGGAAAAAGACAAAAAAAAAAAAAAAAAAAAAAAAAAAAAAAAAAAAAAAAGTATCCACTTACTTAATAGCTATCCAATAGTAGCAAAGACACAGCATCTCTAGTCTTAGTAGTTATAATCTTGTCTTCAGTCTCAGCAGTTTCAGTCTTAGTGGGTGGGAGGGGATAGCCCATCCCTATGGGGTCAAGGTTTATTTCTGTGGGAAATCTCAGGAAGGTGGTGCCAATCTCAGGCTTCCCCCAGGGAAGTGTGTGAACCTTGCTATGGTGACTTTAATCTTCAAATGGGCCTCAAGCCAGATCCAAACCTCTGCACTGGCTCCTCCAGGGCCAGCCCTGTCCCTCGGCCTAGAATACTCCTACCTGATGTAGCCGGCTGTACTACCCAGGGGCAGTCCTGCAGGGTAGGTGACTACCCAGGGGCAGTCCCACAGGGTAGTGGGCAGGTCCTTCTGCACGGATGGCTGCCTTAGGCATAGCAGGCTGGAGAAAACGTGCCTGGAAGAATGCACAGGCTTCCCAGGCTCTGTCGAGTGGGTCTCTTGGTTTCTGAAGTCCCCTGCCCTCTGTATCTTCTCTAAGTGCTAAGGTCAAGAGTGCATGGAGGAGTTGTCTGGGGCTTCAGAAACTGCAGGGCCTAGCTGGGCCCTGTCATGTGTCCAAGTGACACGGGAAAGAAGCTCCCGCCCTGCTACAAGGTCTTGCTACAAGGTCTTGCGCTCTAAAATCCAAGAATGAATTTTAGGAGCAATGGAGGTCAAGAGCAGAATATATTTACTGGGGGGAAAGAAATCTTCTGCCCCAGGGAGAAACAGAGGGGTCCCGAGTGGGTTGCTGAGGACCCTGACTTCTCTAGGGATTTTTATAGAGCAAATTCACGATATAAAGTGGGTCTAAGGTGGGAAAAAAGGGGAACTCACAAGGTGGGCATGAGGTGGGGCAGGACTGTGGTAATAAGATTAGGAATATAATCCTCTAGTTAAAATTGATTAAATCAGGATCAAATGGGGAAGTGAATCTGGCAGCCAGCAGCTATGAAATAAGAGGGGCTCTTTCTGCCTTCCTCAGGGTGCCAGAGACCTACTTAGAATATCCATCCCTGATGCTTACCCCTAGGAAGTTCATGGGTACATTTGATTTATCTTCTGTCTTGGGGCCTGGCCCACAGTGTCTGTCTCTGTCTCCCCCACAGTTGCAAGCCATCTGGTCTTCTGCACTGGCTCCTTCGAGGGCCCAGCCCTGTCTGATCGCCTAGAATGTTTCTACCTATCTCAGCTGCCCCTAACATCTGGCACCAGGCTTTACTAAAGACACAGGGAGGGCCCAGGAGCTGGGATCTAGCTAGGTCTGCCTTGGTGGGGGTGGGGGTCCTCCAGGGAATGATGCATTGTGACATCTTTGACCAGATGACCTGGTTTCTTCTGCTTACGTCTATTCTTGAAAACTGGGCTGCAGATCATAGATTGCCAGCAAAAGCCGCAGAGTCTGTGTCCAGGCCTTTGCTGATTCCCTCCTGGGAGTGACCTTCTCTTCTGTCTCTGCAGTGTCTGTGCGGTGTGGTGGCTCCCAGGCTTCTGTCCCCCGGGGTGACTGCCGCATTCCTTTCTTCCTGAGTCCTGAGGAATTCCCAGCATACTTCGGAAAGTTTATTAGGCAGAAGTTTGGTGGGTGGGGCGGACGTGGCCTTTCACAGGGGGAAGCCAATGTGCAGGTGAAAAGAGGCTCTAGCCACAGAGCAAAGAAGTCACTTTGCAAATAAAAAGGGAAAGGTGAAACCAATTTGCAGGTGAAAGGAATCACTCGGCCCATCATGTCCAGGGAGAAGGGAAAGCCTGCTGTGGCACTTTTCATCTTATAATTTCCGTCCTCTCCTTTGACTTCTCTGTTTCCTGTGCCCCCCACCTCCATGCATGAAGGACAGAAGCCCCCGGGCCCTGTTTGCTCCCTGCTCTGGCTCCAACCCCAGTCGCCTGGGTGTGAGGGAGCTCAGGCCTCACTGGGCTTGCCCTGCACAGCGTCCGGGCCCGAGCTGGGCCTTTCCCTGGCTTCTCTGCATGATCAGTGTCTACTGCTGGGGGAAGAGGAGCTTCTCCTGATCCACAGTAATAGAGCGGTAAAGATTACACAGGGGGAGACCACACACTTCCGTTTGTTTCTGAGGCAGGGTCTCCTAGTGATTCTGGCTGGCCTCAGCTTTCCTCCAGTGGCCCCTGGGGGCTGAGTCTGGGAGGTTTCCCAGCCAAGCAGCAGGTGGCAGAGACCCCAGAGAAGGGAGGGCTTGGAAGTCCATTCAGTAAAATCAAATAGGTTGGGAGAAAAACGTCCAGGAGCCGCAGTAATAGTAGCTCAGTAAAACTGATTCCCGGGATAGAAGCTGCCACCCTGCTAGATGTCCGGAATGAGTTCATGTTCTCTAAAACTGAAGAATGAATTTTAGGAACACAGAGGTTAAGAAGAGAATACATTTATTGGGGGAAAGAAAACTTGTCTGAGAGAGAGACAGAGGGCGCCCTTTGTGGGTTGCCAAAGTACCCTACCTTTTTAGGGACTTTTTAAAAGAACAAATCTACAAGGTGAGGTGGGTTCAGGGTGGGGAAAATGGGAAATGGCAAGGTGGGTATGAGGTGGGACAGAGCCATGGTCCACCAGTAAGATTCTGAGGGTAACTGCTCTTGTAATTTTGATTAAACCAGGATCAATGGGAAGTGAATCCCATAGCAGGCGGACCTGTGTGCAGAATGGGGAAGCCTTCTGGCTTCCTCAAGGTGACTGACACCTCGTTGGTCCCTCAGCTCTTGATGCTTATCCTCAGGAAGTAGATGGCTGTGTTGTTTGATCTTCCATCTTGAGGTCTGGCCCTCAGCAGGAGAGACCTCTGTCTCCTCCAAGGTTCCAAGGTTTCTGGCTTTCTGCACTGGCTCCTTCCAAGGCCCAGCCCTGTCTGACCGTCTAGAATATCTCTACCTAACTCAGCTGCCTGGGACAAAATGATTTAAAAGAAATTAGAAATGCCCGAGAACGCTGAGTAGATGAACTCTTCTAGATTAAAACAAGATAGAAAGTCAGACTGCACCGGGGCAGTAGTGATTCCAAGTCTCTGTCTGTCTGTGGAAGCTGTGCCCCTCCTGGCCTGGAAGGGGTCTCTTCCCGGCCCCTCCATGGACCCTGGCTCGTTCCTGCTCCTGCTCCTCAAGTGGCCCCTTTCCTCTCCTCGCCTCTTAGCTCGGCACAGCAGTGGCCCGCAAGGCTGTGTGGCCCTTGGTTCCCGTCCGCCGAGGCGCTGGCCGATGGGAAAGGTTGGGGTCTCCGTCTCCCGCCTCCTCTTTTGACCTGTCCGTGGGTGGCAGGTGATGATGTTGTTGATCTTCTGGATCCTTTTGTAGTGCAAGGGGCCTCTGATTAATCAGGCCCCAGTTCCCTGGGGAGCCTGACATCCGGGACGCCTGGGTGCCTGGGTGCCAGTCACCATGCTCAAGCTGGGGCCTTTCCCAGGGTCACTGAGAGGTCTGAGGCTCACTCTGCCAGTGCAGTGGGGCAGGCAGGGCCTCTCCATGTGCAGGGCTGGGAGAGGCCAGGGAGGAAGGAGCCCGGAGTTCCAGGGGACTCACTTCTCTGCTGGGCCACCCAGGGAGGCGGCAGGGCCCTGTGTGAGCCCGAGTCGGCTTCCTCTCCCGTGGATAAGTGATCACACCTGCGATGGTGAAAGAACTGGAGTGGGACGGGGCCCGGATCTCGGAGCCCCACGCCGGGTTTCTGCGGAAGCTGGGTGGACTGGATCCATCTCCTGGGTGCTGCAGGAAGCCTAACTTGATGCCCTGGGTTCTCCCCACCCCGGGGGGCACTGCAGGACATCTTGCCGTGGCCACACACAATGTGGAAGCCGCCCTGACTCTGTCTGCCCTGTGCAGGAGTAGCCTGGGTGTGACTGTGGCCCCTTCTCATCAGGAGGGAGGGCCACACGGGGCCAGGGAGGTGGCTCAGTGGTGCCGCCTTTGCCTGGCAGGTGTGAGACCCTGGGTTCAGTCTCAGCATCGAGAGGAAATTCATCTTCTCTTTGCTGGACATCTTGACTTTGCTGGACAGCGGTGGGTCGGATTTTCCAGAGAGCAAGGAAAGGTTTTGTTTTGCAGCCAGCTGCTACCATTTCTCTGGTGCACACCATGCACAGAGAATGCACCTGACCAGGAGGGGCCTTTGGGTTTTATCTTGGAGGTGGAGATTGCGGCTATTCAGAGGTGAAGATGGGCCCTGAGGACGGGTGCCCCTGCTCACCCTGGTGGCGCCTTCTGGGATCCACCCTACTCTCCAGGGTACAGGGTGGGGAGGCACGCAGGGGATCTTTGCTAATTTATGAGTTGTTTGTTCACTTCACCTTGGCTGTGCTGCAGCTGAGCTCTGCACTGGTTTGTCCCACAGAGAGGCAGTTGGGGAGACTTGACTTCCCGAACCCCACTAAAATGACTTCGGCTGTGTGTAGTGGTTTTTGCTCTCCAGAGCTTTGTGGGGAGGTAGCTGCTGAGTCCCACCGACCTTGGGGCCTCTCTTGCCCTAGGCTGGATGTGGTGGTACACATTTGTAATCCCAGTGCAGGAGGATGGCAAGGAGGAACACGGTCTGGACCATTTAACAAAACCCAGTCTCCAAACAGAAAAGTGACAGAGGGCTGGGGCTATATATACCTCAGTGTGAAGGCCTTGGGGTCACCCCTCAAGAATCCTCCCCAGAGACCTCTCTCTCTCAGGGCTTTGGTTCTCCCTCAGCCTGCCCCTTCCCCTGCCTGCCCTCCCGCAGCCCCCAGAAGAGGGGAGTTGGAGTCCTTAGGGGTGATGGTGTGGAGTCCACTGTCAGTGGCATCGGGCCTGCTGCTGCGCTGGGCAGCCAGGAGGTAGACAAGTGCTCTAAGGAACTTGGGGGTTTCTGGGACATTCTTCCCCCCATACACATGCCATGTGCAGACGCACACCTGCATCACCCCTCACAGTGTTCTCAGGAGGACTTTTCCCTAGGTCTTGCCTTGGCCTTGGCGATGGCGGCGACAGGCACTGGAGCGCAGGAGCTGGAGAACCATCACAGGTGAGGCAGCCAGGCCTGAGGACCCCAGGGGTGGGACTCTGAGGGGCTGCGGGTTCAAATCTGTCTCCAGGTGTCCCACTTTTGTTAAACAAATCCCCTGCTCGTACTCCCATTTCTCTCCATGTAGCCCAGTCAGGTCTCAGACTGGGAGCAGTCCTGCCTCAGCCTCCCACATGCCGGATTACAGCCATGGGCATCACACCCAGCTTCTGTTTTGTCTCAGAGTCGTAAATGCTTCCTCTTTCCTTTGCAGTTTGCCTGAGCTCTGGGCTCTGAACATGTTAGGCAAGCGTTTTGCCCACGGAAGCAGCTCCTCCAGCCCTGCCCTAATTGGGTTGTGTTCCATGACTCCACACTGAGGTTTAGACATCACTAAGAAAAGCCAGCATTTCTTGATTTCACTCATTTCCTGCCTGGCGTTTATTTAGTGCCAGGGATGGAACTAGGCCCTTGAGCAATGGTGAACTCAAGCTGTCCCCTGAGCCTGGACCTTTTTTTCTTTCTCTTTTGGTTTTTGAGACAGCTTGCAGGGTTATCCATCCCTGGCATGCCTGTCTGAACTCCCTGTCCCCAGGAGTCCACGGTCTTCAAAGTAAAGCCCAGAGGTTGCATGGGGTGGGGGCACTGCAGGGCTGACACTGCTTTGCGCTCCTGTGGACTGGGGCATCAGGGCAGAGTGCTCGGAGGGAGAAGGAGAAGCGGGGACCTTGCACGAAGCCTGGCTCGTGATCCACGTCCCACACTGCCCTGCACCCCACACCTCAGCTTTCTCCTTTCCTGCCAGCGAACGCCCTGTGCAGCTGTGTAACCCCCATGTGGCGAGCCTGAAGGAGGATGTGCTCTACCACTTCAGCCTGGGCACCGGCACACACGACCTCCCAGCCATGTTCGGGGACGTGAAGGTGAGGGATACAGGCCTGTGGGTGGCCGAGCAGTGATGGGTGGCTGGGCCTTGATGGGATGTTTCCTGAGTCCTGGTGGATTCTCACTCCCAGCAAGAAAGGAACTGATGCTAAGTGCACTTGCAAATTCAGTGCGTCATGGAAACTACCTAAAATAAACTCCCGAACCAGGAATGATGGTGCATGCCTGAAATCCTAGCTGTGGGGCAGGCTGAAGCAGGAGGGTGGCTTGAACTCAAGAGTTTGGGGCCAGCCTGGGCAATGTAGAAAGACCCTGTCTCCATCGGTAGAACAAAACAAAACAAACCAACGCTTCACTGAGAGGAGAGGGAACTACAGCACCTTTTAAAGACATGCAGTCATAATAAATAGAATTTATATTGTATCTGCTTGTAATTTCCGATGCATGTTGATGCTTAGTTGTTTTAAAGACCAATTTTGCTGGATATGGCTTTAGTTTGTTTTCCCTATAAAGTCTCAAATTCCTCAGTGAGAATTATCCTAAACAGAGACCTTAAAAAGAGCTTAGTGTATTTTTCATTGACCTATAGTAGCTGTCTGTTTGTAGGACATACTATGATTTTTTTTTATGTACCAGGTATCAAACTCTGACCTCGAACTTGCGGGGCAGGTGCTTGTGTTGCTGAGCTAAATCCCTGGTCCCCTACAGTGAGGTATTTTAATAGATGCCTTCAGGGGCTGCTGATCAGGTCAGAGTGTGTGATCCCCAGGACACAGACCCTAGTCACTTGGAGTTTCCTCTCCTGACTGTTCTGAGATACGCAGCTGCTTGTTACCCTACAGTTACTGGACTGCTGACCCAGGGTTTTCACACACAGTCCATGGGCAGCTAGGAATCAGAGTCACCCAGATGGTGGAATCCAGTGCTGGCACAGGGCTCACAGTTTAACAGCCGAGCTGTGTCCCTTCTGCTGCTGGTAGTGTTGTTTTGGGAATACTGGCTTCAAATAGTGGGGCTGCTTTTTTTTTTTTTTTTTGTCTTTTTGAGGTCTCTATCCTGTTTGGGCTGGCCTTGAGCTCACTTTGCAGCGCAGGCTGGTCTTGAACTTGCAATGATTCTCCTACCTCAGCCTCCCGAGTGCTGGGATTGCAGCTGTGCACCACCACACCCAGTTGGGGCCTGCTTTTTATGCCCTCTAATTCCCTAAAATTCCATTCATTCTATTGAGCTATTAAGCTTCATTACCATTATTATTACTATTACTGTTATTATTGCTGGATTAGTATATGGTGAGTTTTTAATTCCAGGCTATAGAAATTTCATGTTTAAATTATTTCTGTTACCTTCAAACTGGCTTATCGTCGAAACTGGCTTATTTACTTTTTATTTTTATTTTTTTACAAAACAAAATGTTTCTCACATTGATGCTCTGTAAATTAAGGTTTTTGGTTCTCTGAGCAAGATCCACCTGAAGGGTTGAACCTCCCCGAACCCCCAGTACCACTCCCAGTACCGTGGCTCTCTGTGCAGTGACGCCTCGGTACCTGGTGACTGGAAGGAGGGAACCACTGGGGCCCATTCACAGCGGGGCTCTGGGGCTCTGAGGCTCTGGAGGAGGGGGCGAGGAGGGGGCGGGACAGCAGGGGGCCCCGGGTGTGTCCAGAGCCAGGCTGTACCGCCACCCCATGTTGCCTGAGAGTTTAGCCCGCCTGGCCCCTTCTCTGCTTCCCGGGACCCCGGAGCGCTCCTGATGGTCTGGGTCCTTCCTGCAGCTCTCTGGCGCTTCTAGCAAATGGCCAGGTGACCCACTGCACCCTGCGGGGATGCAGCTCTGAGGCCCTCTCCGTGCTGTGTTGCAGTTCGTGTGCGTCGGGGGAAGCCCGTCCCGCATGCTCACCTTCATCAAATACGTGGCCACAGAGCTGGGCCTCGGCCGCCCTGGGGATGAGTACCCCAACATATGCTCGGGGACTGACCGCTACGCCATGTACAAAGTGGGCCCGGTGCTGTCAGTCAGCGTGAGTACCCACCCGGGCCTCTGCACACGAGGCAGCTGCCGCCTCATCGCTGGGAGGTGGGAGGTGGAGAGCGCTGGAGAGCGGGGGACCCTGGACTTGGCTCCTGCTGCTCCGCACACAAATCCCAATGCAAACAGGCACAGCTGTCTGGGCTGTAGGGGTGGAGGGGCAGGGGCAGGGAGGGAGCAGGAAGGGGAGGGGGCTATGCTGGGCCAGGGCTGGGGCAGGGCCAAGGCAGGTGCAAGGGCAGGTGCAGGGAGTGCGTGCCTGCCTGTGTGTGAGATACGGTAGCCAGGGATGGGCTGAGCGGCCCTGTGAGAGCCACAGTGGTGTCCCAGCCTGCCCACCCCTCAGTCACCTCGTGGTCACACGTTAGTTCCTGAGCAGCTGGGCACCACCAAGGTTTTCTGTTGCCCAGTTTTGCTGTCCTTTGCCAGCGATGCGGTCCTGGAGATGTGCGTCCCGGCTCTGGTGCCTGGCACCATCTAGAGGCTGCGGGCGGCCCTGGGTTACAGAGTGCAGAAGCCTCTCCTGGGGAGGAGGACTCCGAGGCGAACTGGAGAAGAGTCCTCTGCCCCAGGCTCTGTCTCGGCCTCAGCACCGCGGGGTCTTGGGGAGGCGTAGGGTGTTAGCAGAGACGGTGACGGCCGGATTTGGCACAGGGGAGCATGGAATTCACCTGGTGTTGGGGCCGAGGGACTGGCCATGTCCCAAGGGGACCAGCTGCTGAAGCTGAGCGTGTAGGGAGAAGAATGAAGAGGTGAAACTCCAGCTGGTGGGGTGCGCATTCGTGCAGGGCTCCAGTGGCAAACAGGAGCTGTTTGTTACTCGGCAGTAGCTGCTGCTAACTTCCTGCGGAGCCTTGGGTTGCAGAGGCGCTACCCATTCCACAGTGCGTGTGGACCAGCGGGCATCAGGAGTAGGACAGCTGTGTGTACACATCACGGTTCCTGAAGTGCGCACGGGTTTTAGGCTCGTGTTTTGAAACTTGCCTTCCCTTATCCCCACCAAGAGCCTTTTATTTATTTATTTATTTATTATTTTTTGGTACTGGGAATTGAACTCAGGACCTTGCGCTTCACTGAGCTCTATCCCTGGCCCTGTGAAGAGTTTCACAGATTGATGGGCAGCACACAAAGTATCACCCGGAACACAGGGGTCCCCCAACCCACAGCAGGTGCACCCCAAGGCTCCTGTAGATGCCAGACGCTGCAACTATAAGGAAGCCCCGTGTATACCCGGCTTTCCCTGTGTGTTTGTGGTTGTGCTGCAGCCTAAGGAAAAGACGAGGCCTAATTTGATGACAGTAGCTAGCAATAGACTAGCACGAGCGGAGGACAGGCCAGGCCAGGCCAGCAGTTCCACACGTGTGGTGTCTCCGTGCCGAGTGGGGCCTGCCGGGGGACACAGCGCACCCCTGGGGCTCAGCCTGGCCGTCTCTCTCCTTCAGCATGGCATGGGGATCCCCTCCATCGCCATCATGCTGCACGAGCTCATCAAGCTGCTGTACCACGCCCGGTGCACCGACGTCACCGTCATCCGCATCGGCACCTCGGGTGGGATCGGTAAGGCCGGGCCTCGGCAGGGCGGGGGTGGGCTTGCCCCCAAGTGTCCCCGCTGCGGTTTTGCTCCAGGGCCGCGTGTGGAGGTTAACGGGAAGTGTGGAAAGAGGCCGTGCGCTCCTCTGTTCTGCACCGGGCTCCTGGCTGCGCCCTATAGCACATCCTCTTCGGCTCTTCCTACTTTGGTTTTCATTTTCTCTTCTGATTCCTCCTTCCCTTCTGCCTTCTGCTCCTTCACTCAGTGCTCCACCCCTTCCTGCAAAGATTTGAGGAACTGTATGAGAAAATCTTAAAGAAAGAAAGAAAGAAAGAAAGAAAGAAAGAAAGAAAGAAAGAAAAAAAGGCTGAGGCAGGAGGGATTCCAAGTTTGAGCCCAACCGGGAAACTTAAAAAATGTAGTGGGAGCCAGGTGTGTGGTGCTGTCCTGTAATTCCACCACTTGGCAGGCTGAGGCAGGAGGATATTTGCAGGTTTGAGGCCAGACTGGGCTACAAAGTGAGCCCAAAGCCAGCCTGAATGCACAGGGAGACCCTGTCTCAAATGTGTCAATGCATAAGAGGCTGGGGCTGTAGCTCCATGCAGAACCTTGTTTCAGTCACCAGTAGTGGAACAAACTGATGATCAGAAATAATTCTGGGAAGTGGGTAGATTTTGAAACTTGCTAAGTAGCCCCATAAAGTGGGCACTGTAACGAGAGGGCCGAGCCCCTCATTGGTGGGTGTCACGGATAATATGTGGTGAGTCACCCTTTCCAATCCCTGAAGGCCATGGCTGGGGACAGAGCCTAAGGGCTGGTGGCCTCAGTGCCATTTTGGGAGGGAGTGGTGCTGCAGGTGCCCACAGACCCGAGCACATAGGAGGCCAGGCAGCCCAGCACCCCGGCGGTCCCCCAGAAAGCCTGTTCAGTTCAGAGGGCAGCTGCTCACATTGCAGGGTTCGCCCATGGGGTCCTAGAACTTCAGACCTGGGGGACCACAGAGGAGGCTGGGAACTGACACCCACCAATGAGGGGCTGGACGCTCTCACTACAATGCCCATTTTATGAGGCTACTTAAGGCTGGAGCAGCTGGGAGGGGAGGTTCACTGACCATGGACACCAGAACAGCTGCAGGGGTTTGGCTATTGGCCACGTTTTTGTTGGTTTTCTGAGACAGGGTATTGTTCTGTAGTTCAGGTTGGCCTTGAACTCACTATGTAGCCCAGGCTGGCCTCACAGTGATCCTCCTGCCTCAGCCTCCTGAGTGCAGGGATTATAGGCATGCACCCCCATGTCTGGCTGGCCACATTTTCAACTTTTTAAAAAATTTTTAAAAGTTTTTTTTTTTTTTTTTTTTTTTTTGCAATGAAATCCTGCTGTGCTCCCCAGGTTGGTTTCACAATTTCTTGGGCTTATGCAATTCTGCTTCTTCAGCCCCCAGAGAAGCTGTGGCTATAGGTCTGCACCAGCCTATCTGGCTCTTCTGCTCCATCTCCTCGTCCTCCTCCTCCTCTTGCTTTTTTTCTTCTTTGTTCTGGGAACTGAACCCGGTGTGCACTGAGCTACACTCCTAGCCCTTTATTTTTTTGTGTTTATTTTTGAGCCAGGGTCTCCCTATTCGATTCAGGCTGGCCCTGAGCTCACTTTGTAGCCCAGGCTGGCCTCCAACTTGCAGTGATCCTTCTGCCTCAGCCCCCCACCTGCTGGGATTACAGACAGGCATGAGCCACCATGGCTGACTTTTTATTTTTATTTTTTGAGACAGGGCCTTGCTCAGTTGCTGAGTTGTCTGGCCACGGCCGGAGTCTGACTCAGCCTCCCAGAGCGCTGAGGTCCCAGGTGTGAGCCACCACACCTGGCTTCAGTTATCTTTTCAGCCTTTCATGGCAGCAGCTACATTGGGAGCTCCAGGAAGGTCTGGGCGTTTCCCTTCTTCCTTCCTTCTTCCTTTGGGTTGCAATACTACAGTGTTGCAATTTGACAATGTTATGTTGTAATGTGGTTCAGCAGAGGGGTGTGGATCCTGGCCCCTGGGGCTGTGGGAAGCAAGACCAGTCACAGTCTGCAGGTCTCACACTTGGATGTGAGCTGCTTAGCCCCACAGTCAGAGGTTGAAGCAAGGGTCCGCAGGGCCGGCTCCAGGGTCCTGCTCACTGTGTAGTCTTGTGGTGGTGGGGGGTACAGAGCATCTCTCTGGAGTCTCCTTTTGGGGACACTGAGCCCATTAATGAGGGCCCTGCACTCATGACTTGAGCAGCTTGCAAAAGCCCTGTCTTCTGCCACCATCACTGCCGTGGGGTCAGGGTTTGATAACAGCTTGTTTTCTGTCTTCTTTGTGAGTACGGGGGAAGAAGCCAGTGCCTTACACTGAGTGGCCTTCCCAGCCACTTATTTATTTAGAGATAGGGTCTGATTCAGTTGCTTGCACCTCTGACCCTCCCGGCTCAGCCTCCTAGAGGGCTGGAGTAACAGCTGTGGTCCCACCAGGCTTGGGTTCAGTGTACAGATCCTGAGAACCTGCACACTGAGGCCAGTGTGATGGTCCAGCCATAAAAAGGTGTCATAAAGCGAGGGTAAGGAGCGGATCTGCGTGAAAACCCGCAGACGGAAGTGCTGTGGAACAAACCGATAAGTCGGATTAATAGCCGGACCCTGGCACTGTGTCCATCTCGAGGACAAGCGGCGGGAGGGCAGTCCCCGAAGCCGGGGTTCTCGTGCTGCTTCCTATGCTTTGTATCTGCTGTCAGCAGACGAGGTGCGCTCACCGAATGACGCCGGCCGCCTGAGCGGCAGTGCCCAAGGTGGTGGAGATCGCGGTCCGGAAGCTGCAGGTCGCTGCCCCGCGGAGCCCTGACGCCTGCTCCCCTACCCCCAGGTCTAGAGCCCGGCTCCGTGGTGATCACACGGCAGGCCGTGGACGCCTGCTTCAAACCGGAGTTCGAGCAGATCGTCCTGGGCAAGCGCGTGGTGCGCGGCACGGACCTGGATGAGGCGCTGGCGCAGGAGCTGCTGCGCTGTGCTGGGGAGCTCAGCGAGTTTGCCACAGTGGTGGGCAACACCATGTGCACCCTGGACTTCTACGAGGGTGAGGGGCCAGGGTGGGGGCCGAGGGTGAGGGGGCCCAGCCTAGGCGGGGCATGTAGCGGTGGGCGGGTCCGGCGCACCCAGTCAGCCTGCGTGTGGTCTGCGTGTCCAGGCCAGGGCCGGCTGGACGGCGCCCTCTGCTCGTACACGGAGAAGGACAAGCAGGACTACCTGCGCGCGGCCCATGCTGCGGGCGTCCGCAACATCGAGATGGAGTCGTCAGTCTTCGCCGCCATGTGCAGCGCCTGCGGCCTCCGAGGTGGGCAGCGCCGGGAGCCGGGGTCCTTTGCGCCTGCTCCTTGGTCCTGGGGAACCTGGTGCTGGCTTCTCCCTTGACCTGGCCCCAAAGTCTATTTCGTTTTTGTCCTTTTTTGAGACCAGGTCTCAGCTAAGCAGTTCAGGCTGGCCTTGAGCTCACTTTGTAGCCCAGGCTGGTCTGGAACTTGCAGCGATCCTCCTGCCTCAGCCTCCTGAGTACAGGGGTTACAGGAATGCATCACCACGCCCAGCTCCCAGAGTCTATTTCTGAGTGAAATGGCCCCTGCTCCCCCTCTGACTGCCACACAAGATGTGACAGCCTCAGCCTTCCGTCTGCCTCAAGGTCCCAAGTTCGCTTGGAGGAAAAACTCAGGGCAGCTCCTGAAGAGTCACATTCCAGAGGTGCTCACGTTTCACGCCCCCAAACAAGAAACTGATGACAGAGGCAGAAACCCAATTTCAGGGCGGTGGTGGGAGCTCCCTGAGCGCCTGGTCCCTGCTGTCTGTCTCCTAACACACCGCCTCTGGGTCAGCAGGCCCCGGGGCGGGAGGGGAGGGTGGAGTGGCTTGGGGACCCAGCCCAGGAGAGCTCACCCTGATGCGGTGGCTTTGCACTTTACAGCGGCAGTGGTGTGCGTCACCCTCCTGGACCGGCTGCTCGGGGATCAGATCCGCAGCCCACACGAGGTGCTGGTCGAGTACCAGCAGCGACCGCAGCGGCTCGTGGGCCACTTCATCAAGAAGAGCCTGGGGCGGGCCTGAGGGCCCCTCGATGGGACCAGATGGGGCGGGCTGCCTACAGATGATACCGCTGGCCAGGGCCCCTTCGGGTCACCAGAGCACACTTCACACCAGGGCTTGGGGATCAGGCTGCCGTTCTGAGGAGAGGAATCGTCGCTGGATTCCCCCAAGGGCTCTCGTAGACCATTTCAACTACTGTATGGTGATTGGAGTTTTTTTTTTTTTTAATCTTCCAGAACATTCTGCCAAATATTTGAACTCTTTTTAAGAAAAATGTAAGACTTTTTTTAAATGTAAGAATTTTAAAATTCTATGCCATTTATGTGAGTAAACGGAATTTGATAACCATGGCAGCAAACTCATTTCCCGAAAATCTTGAAAATCCCCCTCCCTTGGGTCTGGGCATTTAGCTCAGCGGCATAAGTGCCTGCTTTGCAAGTGCATGGAATCCTTGGGGGATGGAGACCTTGCCTCTGTGGGTGGGAAGGTCCCTGGGCTCAGGACAGGGTGTCAGGGTGGACTGTCCAGGGCTCTCGACTCCTGCTGACCCTTAGCTTCTCCCTTCAGCTTCAGTCGGGTGGACGGGGATCCAGGGGCACTGTCTGTCTTTGGTGAGGTTCCCAGCTCAGGGAAGTTTGCTCTTGGAACCCCTCTGGCTGTGTTCCTGGTGACCCGCCCTCCCTGTCTCCGGACTCAGGGCGGCTGTTCTGGTTTGTGTCCCGTTGGGCACCGGATCCCATATCCAGGCTCAAGTCTGCCTGGCAGTTTGGTCCTCCAGTTTGTGGGGCACAGTGCAGGGTGTAGGGATCTGGGTGTGTGTGGGCTGAGTCCTCTTTGATCCTTTGATTTGAGAGTCACCCTGAATGCAGGGTCATCCAGCACCTGCAGGGCACCAGTGGCAAGGGGCCCTCGCCCTGCACACCTTTGCTTCCCTTCCCACCAACTGCAGCAGGGACAGCTGGGGGGACACGAATGATTGGGCCACTGCACCTTTACCTGAGGGGCAGGGCCCTGGCCGCATGTGTCCAGCTGCAGCTCCGTGCCCTTGGCCTCAGCACTCAGGAGGAGCTGTGGGCTGGACACCTGGAACCCTTTCCTGCTCCATCTTCAAATTCCTCTGCTCCAGAGCCCAGCTGGGCATCACCAGGCCCTGGGTGCTTAGACACCGCCAGTGCCCGGCTCGGGCTGGGCGTCTGCTTCCTCACGACAGCAGCGCATCCTCATGTGTGTTGCCAGCTGGGCAGAGGGGGTCGGGGACTCCTAGGTGGGTCCTCTCCTGCCTCAGCCCTGCAGCTGTAAATAGGCGTCCGCCCTGCTCCTTCCAGGACGGCAGCCAGAAAATAGGAGAGGAGGGCTGGGATTAGCGGTGATCAGAAGGCCGAGGCGTCATGGAAGAACCTGTTCACTGAGTGGTCCCCTGGCTCTGGGGTGGAGTTCGGCCAGAGGGTTTGACATCAGGTTGCCATCGCCGCAGGCCGGGCTCACGCTCGCCCTCTGCTGGCCACGTCTGGTAGTGCAGGTCACCGGTCTTCGTGAAGTCCCGTCCTCAGGCATGTGGCTAAGGTTTCCCTTGGTCGTATTGTGGCGCTGATGTCGCAAACCTCAAAGGCGTCATCCAAGTCCCTCCAGGGGTCACACGAGACTGAGGTCTGAGCTCACGTCCAGGCCTGTCCACATCTGGACAGGATTCTCCCCAACCCCCGCCTTTCTCCGTCTTAGCGTGGGCAGGGAGACCCCTTCCTGCAGTACGAGGCACCAGCCTGGGGCTTAAGGCAGGTCAAGGGCACAACCGGGCACCTATCGCCCCCAGCTCCCGGAGCTGTGCTCGCGACTTTGGCTCCAGTGCCAGGCCCCGGCCAAGGGCACAGAACGCCTCATGAACACAGCACCAGCTAGCAGAGGACGAGGTTCCCGTGGGTCAATCCAGCTTTTTCTCACCAGACCTGCAGCATCTCAGCTGTTGAGGTGTCCCCTCCTCCCCAGATCCCCGGTTCCTGCTGACCCTTCCACCTGTCCACCGTTGTCACACGGCAACGATGTCACCCTGATCAGAAAGGGACAACACGACGTGTCTGGCAGCTGAGACAGTGCCTACTGAGCAGTGCTTGTCAAGTAGGCGCTGTTCAGGGCTCCCCCGAATGAGCCGGCCTGACCCTCTCCTCGGCTTCTGGCAGGCGCTGAAGCTGAGGCTTGACCAAAGCTTGCTGCACGATGCACAAGGGCAGCCTGAGCCAGGCAGAGCAATCTTTGTACGTGCGAGTGACACAGAAAGCCACTCATGTGCTCTTTGCACACACACATGTGTAAGGGTACATGAACATGCACAAAAGACCTGCACATGTATGCACGGGCATGCAGACACACATGCACCCATAACATGGACACATGCATGCATAGGTCATAGACACATGCACGTAGAGGTGCAAGCATGGAAACACGCATGTATACGCTCATCTAACAGAAGCCCAGCACTCAGCACTCTACTTCACAGGCAGAGGATTCAGGTTCGGATCTCAGTCCTTTCCACTCCTACCACAGGCAATGCTGCAGGGCTGGTGACTATTGGGGTCTGCGCCTCCACCCCCAATCTCCCAAATGCATACACGGTGAAGGCCCAAACAAATGAGACAGGTGGTCTGATCCTCAGGGCTCCAGGAGGACCAAAACCCTCTGCAGAGAGACTGTCTGAGTGGCCCATATTTATTCAAATAAGGAAGGAGTTAGAGTAAAAACACAGGAAACCTAAGAAGAGTCTTGGGAGGGGTTCACGGACCCCTCCAAGTAACAGGTGATGCTAATTAAGGAGAACTACCCTGGGAGAAAGTCTCCAGGTGTCCTCAGCTGTGGCCTGTCTTGACCCTTATGGTGTCTCCTTGTTCTCTGTGATGGCGCCGGGCCATCACAGCCCTGCAGGTGTGTTCAGCTTCAATGGCTCCAACAGGTGACTGTCTCACCTGCCAGCCTCTCCGGTGGGTATATTTCATTACCACTTTTGTGAGAGGCAAAACTGTGACCACCACGCAGACACTCAGTGTGTCAGCTTCCCTGTTATCCAAACAAAACACCCAACGATTATAGCTGCTTTTTTTTCTTTCAAATTCATTTCATTTCAAAGATAAAAAGAAAAAAATTGCAACAGAATTTCAAAACCCGTCCATCAGGGGGCACAATGGCACACACACTGAGCGTTGTCATCCCCCACCAACACTCACAAGCTTCAATTTGACTTGTGGGTCAGAGGATCCAGTCCATGGTCAGCTGGCTCAGAGGTAGAACCATCACGGCCGGAGGGTGGGTGTGGGGAGGCAGGGCTGTGTTCTCAGGGCCGCTGGAAGGCAGAAAGAGAAGGGAAGAGTGGGGATCCCACCTTCCAGGTCACACCCCAGTGCCTGCCTCCAACCCAGCCCAGCCTCCTTGCCGCGCAGTCAGCCCTGAACTTAACCATGGAGAAATCCACGGATGAGCCAGTCCTCATAATCCAATCACCTTGCAAAGCCTCTGGAGTCTCGAGCCTTTGGGGGGCAGATAGACCAGAGCCTGAATACATAGTGTGAGTGTTCTAGAACAGAACCAGTCCTGTCACCAAAAGACCCTTCCCTATCAGTGCCGAGAGAGGGGGTCACAGTGACTGGTGGTGGCACTTGGAAAGCAGGGACGGGGACAGACCCTCGAGGCACTTGTTGGTGAGGAATAAGGGCACTTCTCTACTTCCCTGAGGGGCTAGGAGTGCTGGCCACAGCTGCGTGCCTGTCCTAGCAGTCAGCTACAGTTTCCGGGGTGGGACAAGTTTGCACCAGAGCGGGGCCTGCGGAGGACAGGACAGGCCCAGGAGGACCCTCGCTCCACCCCGCCTTCTGCCAGACACATTTGTGCTGCACAGTGTCCTGGTGACGTCCCCAGGAGGCCCAGGCGGAGCTTTCAGGTCCGAAGGGCTCAGGACAAGGGGCCCCTTCTCCCTGGACGGTTGGCCTCAGGGTCTCTTTTCTCTTGGGCCCATTTTTTCTTCTCATTTTCATCCTGAGGCAGCTGGTCTTGCCTCGATTCCTCATGCCTGGCACTTGTCCCCTGTGTGCGGTCTGGCCCTCACTCCTGCCACTCTGCTTGCCATGGTTCGAGGCAGTCACGGCTGTCCCAGGGGTACCTCAGGGGCTGCAGGGAGACACATGCTGAGTGACAGCTGTTGTTTCTGTTCAAAATGTTAATATCACATTATCTCTCTGGTGTGAGAAACTAAAATGGATGTACAATAGAAGTCTCATCTTGAGGCTGGAACCCAGCTGATGTTCCTGGAGCTGTGTGGCTCTGCCATCCCACTGTTCTCAACTTCTTACAGGGAGCAGGATACGTGGAGTCAGGAAGCTGTTGGCAGGCTTTAAGGATCTCATATCAGCACGGCAGCTGGCCTTGCACTGCTGAGAGCCGGGAGAAGGGAGAAGAAAACAGCTCAGTCAGCTCTGTGCATCTCTGCATGTGGTCGGGGCTCCATTTAACTGTGCTGAAGCAGTAGGTCCGTATTCGCAGACAGCTGTCCAGGTCATCTTCTGCAGTCTTGGTCGCTGGGGCTCGGGCTCGGGGTGTCAGTCCTGGGCCTGGATCCCTCCCTGACCTCCACCACGGAGTGTGTTCCTACCACTCCCTTGGATCGGTGACAGCTGTGGGAAACAGCAGAGGCCCCTCCTGCCAGCACAGCTGGAGAGCATCGAGAAGGGACTGCAGGGGCCACTGAGGCAGCTGCTTCAGGCCCTCTGTGGGCTGAAGGAGGGGAGGGAAGGGCGGTGCTGTCTCCCTCTGGCTGACTTGAGCCCCAGTGGGGGCACTGCTCCTCTGGGCCCCTTAACCATTGTGTACCTGAGGCTTGGTACAGTGTGCGGTGCCCTCCAGTCACGGAGCGAGCCCAGCCCCACAGTGTCCCCCAAGGGAGCCTGGCCTTGCTCGAGTGGGTGCCCCTACAGGCTATGGGGATGCAGGGAGTGCGCCGACCTGACACCCAGGCTTCCATCAGTGATTTCTGTGTATCCCTGGCTCCTAGAGTCCGTGATAGGGCTGTGTGCAAATTTGCCAGTAACTGTCTCGCTGTTTCCCACAGTGGCTGCCTATTTGACATGGTTTCATTTGTGTGCCTGTTTGTTTGTGAGGAGGTCTTGCTATGTAGCCCAGGCTGGCCTTGGACGCTTGGTGATCCTCCTGCCTCAGCCTCCCAAATCCTGGGATTGTAGGTATGCACCACCACACCCAGTTTTATTTTGCAGTCTTTAAAAAATTTTTTTAATTGTGTAGTTTTAAATGTGTCAGGTGATGTCTCTGGCTCAGGCTGGGAAACCCTGAAAACCTGGAAGGGCATCAGCAAT